ACGGTTTTCCACCTTGAGGTAGGCGGCATAAATAAATGGTTAAATTCCCTGTTTAAAGGCAAAGCACAGAGTCGCTTAAAATAAATAAATGCTTAAATGCCCAACTTAACAGATCAAAGATAATCGATTCTGTTAAATAACAGACCAAATGTAATCGATTGTGTTAAATAACAGAGCAAAGGGAAAATGCAAAGTGCATACAGTTTTAAGTTAGTTATAAATTGTCTCTTTCTCACTTCTTTTTGGACGTGCTTTTGTCTTCTCTTGTGCTTCTAAAAGCTGTGAATTAAGGTGACCAAAGGGGTAACCATATAAGCAGGTAATAGGCCACAGCCATCAATATCTAATCACGTAAGCACATTTGCTGGTAATTATTGCCAAATGCGCTCTCCGTGTTATGTGAAATCTGCATTAGTATTAAGTGCAAATCAAGCAAAAGTTACCACAAAATTGTGTGGTTGTAAAAAAACCACTGCAAAAGAAAAATGTAAACAGATGTTAAAGATTAAATTATTTTTTATTTTGAAAATTAAACTGTGAGCGAAACTGAATTTTTGATTGGTAAAAGCTAAATTTTAGGAATGTTAACCATTCAGATTTAGATTTAGATGTGTTCAGCGGTCATTGTTGGTTGCGTTGGATGCACCACATATAGTGGAATTTTAGTCGTTGTTGTTGCTCCTACAGTCGCTGTTACTCTATTCATTTAGTTTGTTTTGTTTGTAAATTTTACGCTCATAATAGAATTTTATTGCTCTTAGCATTTATTTTGGACCTCGATACACAATGTACAGCAAAGTAAATTTTTACCCTCATAATAGAATTTTATTGCTCTCAGCACTTATTTTGGGCCTCGATACACAATGTACAGCAAAGAAATTTTACGCTCAGAATAGAATTTTATTGCTCTGAGCATTTATTTTGGGCTTCGATAAGCGATGTACAGCAAAGTAAATTTTACGCTCAGAATTTTATTCTCAGTCAAAGCCAAAAGAAAAAAACTTTTGCTTTGAGAGGAGATTATTTCGAATATTTTACTTGTCTCCGAAAGAGAGGGAGAGAAAGAAATAGAGCTACCACTTTTACAATATAAATCCAACCAATTTTCTATTTTTGTGTTTTTTTTTTTGTGAATTTCAAGAACTCAAGAAAGACGGAGATATTGCTTCTTTTTTTTTTTAAAGTTAATGTGTAAAAATCTACCAAAAACAAAATAAACAAACTTTCATTAATATAAAATTTCTAGTTCAGCAGTGAATGGATTTAATTTTTGAATAAGAGAGAGAGTTGCATAAATTTCTTATCGCATCGCATGGGTTTAATATAAACAAAACAGAAGGTAATGTAACATCAGTCAAATTAGAATAATATAACTGAATAAAAAAATTAAAGTTAAATGTGGCTTTTTTCTTGTCGAAAAAGGAGCGTAAGTTGAAATATATTAAAGTGAGAAATTGTGCAAAATAAGACCCATAAATATATTAAAATTGAAAAGAAAATCTAAGTCATTGTAAATAAATTTCTATAGGATCGTTATGAAATGTCATTAATATCACTTTGTATAAATCTGTAAGCAAGTAACAAACATAAAATGTAAACGTGCCAAACATATATGTATGTTTATGTTATAAAAAATGTTAAAGAAAACGTGGTATCGTTTTAAGTTTTAAGTTATCAGGTAGTGCTTATAAATTGATTGCAATTAATTGATTATACATTTAAATCCACTTCTCTATACAAATTACATTAATTTAACAATTTATTCAACTCGTATGCATTTTCTCAAAAAAAAAAAAAAAGAATATATATATAAATATAAACCATTTAAAGTCAATTTAAAGAGGTCAATGAAAGTTTCTCCTTAAAAGAATATTGGCTTTGATATTTGGATTAATTTTAAGTTATTGATAACTTGGTTATTCACGTATTTAGACGGCAACAAATACTTACACGTCAAAATATTTTATTGCTTTTTTACGCGCTTACTACTATATACTACTATAGCTGCCAAGTTGTATATGTTCACTTAATAATACATTTTCATTGAAAGGGTACATATGGCATTAAGAATAAAATGGTAATGGAAATGGAAATTTTTATTAAGGTTATAGCAATTAAAAGTATTTAATATATAATGATTATGATATTACAGTGTAAATTAGTACAAAATGATGTGTTGTACTTTTTAACAAGATTCATCACTCATCAAATGATTAATTAACAGTTTTGTGTTTAACTTGGACGATGTTTAAGGTTGAGTAATTTATTTATTGAGTTTTATTAGCCAGTCGAGACGATCGGTCGATTTAATTTGTTGTTTAAATATAGACGATGCCTTTTTAATACATTCATATACATTTATATACTACATCACTAAAAAAAGGTTTATCGTAGCATTGAGAAATGGCCGTAAAATTAGGAAATTATTAGAAGATTGATAATCCCAGAGAGAAAGAGAGAGAGAGAGATTATATTTATTACAGTAGGCTTTGGATAAAACCTATACCAGATCGGTGTAAAAATAAATGATGAAACAGACATTTTTCACGCCAATAATAAAAAGAATAAACTTTTTATGGGCACTCAATAACACATAAGCAGCGCTCAAAAAATATCATAGCTCTTACTTTGTTACTTATTTGCAGTGGCAAGTGTTTTATTATGTTAACCTTATTATCTGAAGACTTTATCAGTAGTTTATTATCAATAATCCAATTTTAATAATATTGCCGTATCACGTTGTGTGCTTACGATTTCTAACATTGATACACATCAGAAGGTGTAATTGATAAATGGATGTCGTCATCGCAGAATTCTCGCTTATAGGAATTTCACCATCCTATACTGAGATTGCAACTCTTTGCCAAACTTTCGATTTTTCAATGATTGCAATGACTACAACGGCCTTCAATTAGAGTTAGCGCACATAAAACTGCCTTCAATGAATAATATTTTCAATAACAACGAAAATAATTAGGTCATATGTCAAGTAATATCCAGAGTGACTTGCAAGTCAAAAGACTTTCAAGAAATACTTTTTTACTGTTTTTTCAAGAACCGCAAATCACCTTTTCTTATTATCACAAAGAAAAAAAAAACATTCAATACATACAGCTGACCTTAGAAAGTACAAATAAAAAAAAAAAATGATATTTTTATCGAAACGAATTTTAGATACCCATCATGGACAAATAAAAATTATTCAAATTTTTCTGAATCGTAGGCATTAAAATCTTTATCGCGATCGCTAAATTCTTATAAGAATTTATGCGAAATTTCACATTAATATTTTGCTCTTCTTTGTAAGTTAGTGATACAGTCTTTAGAAGAGTAGTCAATTTTGAGACTTGATCTAGAGCTACAAGACAAAAGGCGTGTGCTTACCGTGTCAAAATCCCAAAAATCAAAGCAACTCTGGTCTACTCAAATAACTACAAGAGTCTTTTTTTTTTGTCTTGTTTTGAGAGTTAATAAAATTGGTTAGCTTCGACATACACCGTATGTGTGGGACTATAAGATGCACTTCAAATTTATAAAATGATTTTAAGAAAAATATATTTTCAGGTTACTTTCAGATCGAAATTTTTAATTATTGTTAAGGAGTTATTGTTACTAGCAGTATTCAGTTTATCTTCCCTCTCTATACTCTGTCACTGTTCATGTTACTTTCATCTGAACTATTGTTGTCACCCCTTTTAAACCTCAAATTTAAAGACGATTTATTGAAAAAATATTTTAATGTTACCTTAGGACCATAAAACTCAACCAAAAGTTAAGTCAATTTTTTTTGTAGTCCGAAAAATACGATACCCTATTTGACAGAAAACATGACAGAGCACTAGGCGGCAAATCCGAGCGGAGAAATCTCTGCCTAACGAATATTAAATCCCTCACCAAATTAACAAAAAAAAAAAAAAATGTAGAAATAATTAAATTCTTCATTAGTCATATGCACGCTATACATTTGAAATCAAGTTCAACCCTTTCCATTTATGCCAGATTATTTGAAAATAAGTCCGCTTTCATTTTGTTACTGTGCTTTGGGTGCAGAGCTTCGCTTTTCCATCTGATATTTTAGGATTTTCAAAATTCCAATACTGTGTAGCCTTGAAGGCAAATATCTATCTTTTGCTTTACGAACGGAATAACCAAATTAATATGCTCCATTGTTGAGCTGAGGGCTACAATAACTAGTTTGATAGTGTTAGCCATGACCTTGACTTTGTATAAATTGGCGTAATTTTTAAAAATGTCATTGCGGCACAATCGCAGATCAAGTTAAACGTTGTCTAGATAAAGACGAGGAACCCAGCTCGTTTCTTTAATCGAATAGAAATTAATTTGGATATCGATACAAACTATTATACGTTAATGTTAAGTGGTATGGGAAAAGATCTCAATAATTCGTTACATGCTGCAGTGAATCGCAATTGTTTTTAATTTATTTAAGTTGTAACTGAAAGATCTAACTCTTCGCACGGCAATTATGGATCGTAAAATATTATAAAAAATGAAATTGTTTTTTTTTTTTTTTTTTTTTGTTTGATTGTTTTTGCAAAAATTATATTTTTATGCAAATATATTTTCCCATTTATTTATTTTACACTCAATTACTGTTTATATAGTAATAAAAGAGAAAAAAAAAAAAAAGCTAACAAATCATCTTGAATAACTGATATTTAAAGCTACTAATTTTTTTCGTTAATATAACATTTAATTTTTATACATTTCTTTTTTTTTTTTTTTTCTTTTTAGACCTAAAACAATAATGTTCTTAACAGTCATCATTTGGTTAATACTTTTATGCCTAATATTTTGTGCCTTTTGGTTTTCCAAAACAACCAGAGATATACCAAAATCATGGTATGAATGGAAAATGGAATTTCGCTTTCAATATGTGGGAATAGTGGGTCTGATTGATGATTTTATATATAGATGTAATAATAAAGTCGGTGAGTAAAATTTAATTTCATTATTTTTATACCGTTTGAATAATAATAATAATAATATTAGATTTAAGATGTGTGCCCGTTTGTTTGTCTGTATTGCTATTGGAACTTGCAAGCACTTGAAATTGAAATCTTAAACAGTCAAAGTAAAAAATATATGGAATATTATCAGCAACTTTTAGTTCGTACGGCAAAGTTACTTCGTTTTCTTCCCTTATAAGGCATAAACCAAAACTTGTCATAAATTCTTAATTAATGATCACAAAATCAAATGTCCGCAAAAGGCAATACTATGAAATCACAATCGACAACAGCTTTCGATTTAACACTTGGTGCAATGCTTCTCAAACCATGCCAAACCCAGCCAGTTCAAGAGGCCAGATTGTGATCGCCAAGTTGCTCATACTCATCGCTAAAACAAATAAAAACCTTGCAGTCGAGTGCGAATTCAACCATTAAATGCCCTACACCATTCTTCATTGTAGGACATTGTAGGTGGTCGAGTTTCCTCCCGGTATAGAGGCTGCAACACGTGGACCGTTGTAGTCTGAATATAGCAGAAATAAATTTTCTTCTCAAAGATTTAATTTTTCCTCTCTTGCCTTATAAGGGCTTAACTTACTTTTCATATGAAATCTCGTCTGATCTGGATTTAGAAAAATAGATCTACGTGATCCAAATTCTGTACACTTAATTTTTACGTCCAATTGCTATTAAAGCCTAAATTTCATCATAGGAACGATTGCATCGGGGATATTTCAAAAAGTGGTCTCATCCGATTCGAATATTCCACAACTATTTTTTCGACAAAATACAATTTTTTTGAGGCGTTTTGCTCTAACAATTTTAATATAAAGAAACTTGTCGTTCAAATAGGGAGTGGTCGTGAAAATAATTCATTTCCATCCATTTTCGAAACGCTTCGTTACCAGCACATTGGTGTAAAAATGTCTCAAAAAATTGTGGCTTTTAGCCTAAACGTAATTATACATCGGACAGACAGACAGACAGACAAACTTTAATCAATATAATAAAAGGTAAGCTTATCGTAAGTTCCGCTGGGTGCTACATAAATCCACACATATTTAATATGCCCGGCGCCAACCAGTGGTGTAGGGTATAAATGTTGTGCATTTTCTTATAGCGTAATTACGTAATAATGAATGAGCATGAAAAATTTGTCTCAAGTCTAATACAGCTTGCGTACCAGTTCGTTTAAGAGCTTATGAATCGTAGATGACATTGGACTTCCTTCTACTGACATAAGTATTTAAGTGCATTAAGTGCATCAAGTATTTCAAATACACAACTTAGTACTATTGGGAATTATTCAAAATCGACGATCAACGTGACGTGATAAGCTGTCGCCCTCATCTATTAAAACTTGTCAGCGTTCATAAGAAAAGAGAAAAACAAAATGAATCCAATAAGTGAGCGGAATCTTTGTAGGTATAATCGCTCACAAGATGCAAAAAAAAAAACAACTCTGTTTAGTAATAAAGCCACAGAAGCATAAGACTCTCATCATCTGCAATCTTCGCAGCTGCGTAAAAGTCTTATTCTTAGCGCATGTAATTGTTGGCATCAAATAATCTTTTAGTTATTGCAAAAATATTGATCACTTTTTGACTTGGAATAGGCATTTTGTGGAAAATTGTTACAACATGAATTAATTAACAACATTTTACAATATTTTTGGCAACATGGGGATATTGTGTCCAAAGAGCTTAGAGTGGTTTTGCAGCGACCTATGGTCGCACTTCTTCACTTTTGCGGAGTCGCGTGCCAGCCAAGCCATGCTGCACCGATCTGAACAAGTGGCAATCAGAAGGCACCATGTCTGGTGAGTACGCTGGGTGTGACAGAATCTTCCGATTCGAGCTAAAACAGTGTATCCTGGGCATCTCTTGTAACAAGTGACCAAAAAAATGACATTTTCAATTAGTTCGCGTCGCACTTTCAAACCGTTGAACCCAAAACCGACAATTAGAATATGATCGAGCAGCATTATCAGAAGAGAAGCCTCTGAACTTGTTTGATGGGCATCGGCAGCAGATTTCTTCAAATATGCAATAAAAGTAATGAATTTGGAAGAAGAAGAATTTTAAACGCTCCAAGTCAATAAAACTGTTATTTTATGTAGAGTAAATTCAAAACCATCGAATTCAACCATTATGTACACTGGTTTTTTCCGTTTTTATCATTTTTATTTGTATAAATCGTTGATCAAAATTTTTGCAAACACCTAATAATAGTAACTATTCAGTCGTTCAAGGAGTCTGAAATTATGCGTAAACGTAACTATATTTTACTTCTTTAAATATTCGCTGTAATTTATTTTTATTCTGCTTTTAGAGCTTTACAAACAACCTGACCGTATCGCTGTATTAACGGGCGGCAATCGCGGTATTGGTTTAAGGATTGTTGAGAAATTGCTAAATTGTGATATGACAGTAATAATGGGTAAGTATACTTCAAACCATATTAAACCATAAGGTTACACCCAAAAAAAAGTCAACTTTAGCAAATATTTGACGTTAGCAGTTTATTTGCACTTATTTAGTATGCAGTGCAATGCATCCACATATATTTATAATGGTTTATTAATATAATAAAATAAAAGTATAACACAAACGGTAATAAATGACTTGCATGCTAATGATCTTCATTATTTGAAGAATTATTATAATATGTATTCATATATGTGTTCATATATAATCGGAATCTTAAGATTAAACGTATTAAGTGCATTGCAGCAGAAGAGTTCACCTATCTGAGATCACATAATAATCAAATTTTTGATTAATGAAATACTGTATTATTCGCTTCTAAAAAAGCAGAAAGATGGTGCATTCGGTACGAAACTATCCCAAGCACTGTAACAAGACTTATTGATTGTAAAAGATATCTATCTTCCAGAGCTAATACTGTCCATCAGTGTTAATAAATTATTGTCTGCTATCGATGTTTAGACCAAAGAGTTAAATTCTTGGTTCGGTTTTATTTTTATTGTGGGAAAAACAGAAAGGTTCTTATGAAGACGTTCGCTTCTGCAGGTACTTTTAAGATGTTTCTAACATTAATTGCTCCGAATGCGATCTTTGGAATTGAGGAACATTCTTGATAGTCATAAAGTATGTACTAGTTTGTGAGATTTTTTTTTATGGTTTTTAATCCGCGATTTTTCATTTATCGACATCAGTCCAATATAATGGTTGAATACGATTAGGCTTAGTATGGGAGCAATGTGGATGGTAGTATTGCCGATTTTTTTCCTTCAGTGTTGTTCTATACTGGTTTGTTAAGGTAGGCTGCAAGGCAAACATCAATTTTTGGTTTTACAAAAGTAATATAAATTAAATTGTATAAGATTTGCATAACAAACCGAATCGTAAAGTTTAAAGTAAAAAACGTTTGCAATCGTCGCAGGTAGCGAAATATAAATGAGTTTTTTTTTTTTTCTATATTCGATCAAGATTGTATAGGTAGCTCAACCTAATCTGTCGCATTAACAGTTGCAGCCAGAGATCACAAAAAAAGCTTTTATTGAATGCATATTTTTAACTACTCCTAAAAATATGTTACGAATTTTTCATATTATCTTTTCTTAATTATTTTAGGTGTACGTGATCCCAAAACCGCTGAACAGGCTGTCAAATCATTAATTAATTTAGAGAATATTGGAGGTAAATTAATTTGCGAACAATTAGATGTGGGCAACATGAAGTCGGTGAAAGAATTTGCTGGAAAAATCAAAGCGAAATATTCGAAAGTAGATTTATTAATCAATAACGGTACGAAGAAATGCATAGAAATTCGAATAATGAAAATTAACATAATTTTTATTTTTTATTAAAGCCGGAATTATGTTTGCTCCCTATAAACAGACCGAAGATGAATTTGAATCGCATTTAGCCGTAAACTATTTAGGGCATTTTCTTTTACAGCATTTGCTCTTACCAGAATTAATGAAGGCCGGCAAGAAAGAACGTAAAGCACGCATAGTAAATATTTCATCGTGTGCTCATCTAATAGGACGCATAAATTATGAAGACATTAACGCCAAGTGAGAATTGTTTTGTTATACTTTTGTTCTGAAATATTCATTGGGTTACTTTTACAGAAAATACTATTATCCCGCTACAGCTTACAGTCAATCGAAATTAGCTCAAATTTTATCGACACGTCATTTACAAGGTCTCTTGAATGCACAAGAAGCTCCTGTCCTTGTACTGGCCGTGCATCCCGGCATTGTGGATACTGATCTATTTGAATTTACGGCCACCACCTCGGTACCGTTCATTAAGAAATTAATTTTCAAAACCCCTGAGGAAGGTGCTCGTACACCAATTTACGCAGCTATCTCGCCGAAACTAGAAGATGGAGAAGGCGGCCTGTATTTAAGTAATTGCCGTAAAGCCACTATCAATCCTATTGTTTTGAATCCGGAAAAATGCGAAAAATTCTTTAAATTTTCATGTGATTTGTTAGGAATTGAAGAGTTCATTGGTAGAAAATGAAGAGTTTAAGACATTTTTTTATATATATATTCATACGCAGCCATTTCAGCTCAGAAGTTTTTAGGTTTATAAGTCATAGTCCTTGATGAATTGAACTGCATTTAAAAAAGCTTAGCTTGTAAATGCATTAAACTCGCTTTATATACATATATAAAATCATTTATATATTTACAAGTATTCGCAGAATGATCGATGATTTTAATTACTTTTAACGTCCAACCACTTTGTATTCGCATACTTTTGATATAATTTTGAAATATCAAGTGTGCTTTAAGCATTTAAATTTTATCTAAAACTTGTCCACTTCTTTTCGCTTAAAAAGGAGAAACATTCATCAGCATTACTGTCGACAGGCGTTTAACGAGATGAAGCATTCCTTATGTGTACTAATAAGCCAAATATAGTATTAGTTTAATTAATAAGAGGCTCGAAAAGCTCATTACTCATACTTAATACTACACTCTGTCACACTTTCTTAACCTAATTAAATTCTTTCTATGAAACCTTCTTAGGCAGGCAAGAAGTGGTCTCTCAAATTATCGAAATTCTCCTGAATAAAGATAAGGGTAAAAAGCGAAACATTAATTTAAAATTTCGACTTCAGGTTCAGGTTTTAGCCGTTTTTTTAGTGTTACGTTGGAATGGCTTTAGTTCTTAAACTCGTATTCTGTTCGTAAAAAAAAAACGTCCCTATAAATTATTTCATAATGTACAAGATTTTATATGTGCTAAATAAAAAGAGATATTTTTTTTATTAAAAAATCAACATTGAAGCATTTAGTTCTTAAAACACTGCACACTTACCCGTTGCGAAAGTCGAAGTTGCAGACACGTTTTAAAAACCAATATTTAATAAGTTTTGTCGTTACATCGAAATAAACTTAGAAATCCTAAGGAAGAACCCAGTCTACATTGGGGTCCCCGATATTCGAGTTCATTTACCCTCGATCAGGGCAAGACGATAAACTAAAGTAACGACTTCAGCTTAACGCCTTTCCGTTGTGAAAATTTTCGTAGAATATGGATGTGTTGCACATACCAGATTTGATCAAAACCATGACGGATTTTGATTTTCTAAGCCCTTGTTAATAAATTCCTGTTGACCTGGTCGCAATAAATTGTGCCGCTACATTAGCTTCGTATTAATCTGTTAGTTTGTTACTGATGTCTCGACTTCTGTTTTTCTAAAGTGAAATAGATGCATCTAGCTTAAATTTGTGGGTACAATACTACCAAAAACTTCACCTAACTTCTAAATTTTAGAATTTTTGTTACTTATCAACTTCGACTGTTATTGTTGTAATTAGTTTGGATCCATCGAGTACGTTTTAACGTAGAGAGAAACTTTGGCAATAACAGTTCTTAAGTCTCTATAAACGTAGAAATGCGAATAATGCAACTTGTAAGATATCTCAGCTACGGATATCTTCTGACTATCACAATCAGAAAGCGAAGCTTAACCTCATTCTATAAAAATGTAGTTTTCGAATACTAAAAATTCCATAAAATGTTGCTTGGCTACGAATTTAACCTTTTCTTATATGATAACGTAAGTCATAATTATTTCTGCTCTAAATATTACTTAACTATACTATATACGCGAAATGATAGGAACGGGAAATATTTTAAAAGGTCTTCCAAAATGAGCTGACAATTTAGTAATGGTCTTGCCCGCAAATCTGCATATAATTCTAATTCATCTGACAGAGTTTTGCTTGAAGTTCTTCAATCTTTTGATAGAATTTTCAAAAAATATTTTAAGGTCGTTAATGAGACGATTTGATTTTTGATGCGATTTGTTTATTTATATTTTGAATGAATTTGAATAAAATTTAACATTATCAAATCCTATGGACTTTAGCATGCAATCAAAACCATTATACCATAAATCATATATGATACGATGAAGAAGCCACTTGACGATGTCAAAGTCAGCATTTATGATATTTGTTTATTTTGGAATACCTGTTCGAAATAAATGTTTTATTTATACATTTACAACGAGACCAACGCACACCTTCTTGTCAAATATTAACCGAAAGTAAAATTTTGCAATACATACGAACGTAATATCGCCGAAAAACAAAAAAAAAAAACACAAAAATGTATAAATGTAATGTCAATATGTTTGTTTTCCATTGCCACGTGACGAATCTTGGATACCCTTCACATTAACACTCTATGCTGAGCGCAAACTCTTTTGTAATTGTATTAATTCGCCAAGTTTCCTAATATAGATCTGGCTGGGATAAGCAAAAATATTTGAAAAGATTTGAATTTTCTCAAAAGTATCCCATTGGGTACACAGCAATGGTAAGCATGCTTACAAGGTAAACATAGACAATTCTTTGAAATATTTACCCGAAATTACATGCACTGAAGAGAAATTTGCAAATATTTTCAGAGTAATGATAGAATCACCCTACCATTGGAGTTACTTTTGCAATTTTGCATACCATACGACAGTAGTAATATATTTCTATTCTTTAGAGAGTGATTGTAAAAATGTTTTATAATGCAATTAATCGCTTGCATAGTTAGACTAACATAAAAGCAGTTAAATATTACAACATTGTGTACTATATGCAATTTTAACAAATAAACACACATATGTCAGATATATATATGTATATGTATATGCACAAAAACTAACGCACGTACATATGTACGTACTTTCCTGTAGAATTCATCATCAAAAAATATGTGTCAAAAATCGTGATCATCCTTTGTGAATGTGACGGCAATAAATTGCAAACAGTCACTCAGAGAGTATTCAGTCAGCCGCCTAGTCAGCCAAACCAAGTCAAGTTGTTAAAAGAAGAGTTGTAGACAAATTGTAATGAAAACTACGAAATTTATCGTTGCTTTAGGGCGACTTTTGAGCACCCAGCAGCAGCAGCAGCAGCAGCAGCAGCAGCAACAGCAGCAGCAACAACAGCTAAACATATGCTATGCTTAAGAAAAAAAAAACAATGCGAAAACAATTTAACTGAATAAGGTTCGATACTTAGTTTTTAGTATTTGCTGGCCTTAATGACTAAGTTATAGCAGCCTTTGGACAACCTTAACATAAATCTTGTACGAATCGCATGTTAAGGAACTGCAAATACAAACCTCTAAGCAAAAGTCCAATCTCTTCCGTATAGTGTAGAATTAAGGCTATTTTGCACTGTCTTCCAACGACGATAATGCTTAACAGCGACATGTTCTCCTTTCTCACACTCATTCATTCAACAATAAATTATTTCTGTCCGGAATTCAGTCACATAATTAAATGAATAGTGCCCTATAGCGAATAATGCTACGTCTATTGAAATCACACTACATCTTTATGATAACGGCTACTAAAAAAAAAAAGAGAAGATCGAACTTTTTAAAGTTTTTATATATGTGTAATAAAATATATTAAAAATTGATGATTATTGATGAATGAACGAATGAGCGAATAACGTCTAAACTTTGATCGCCTGGGCATCTAATACTTTTTCGACTAAAATGAAACTAATTATTAAGGCTTTGACAGCGATTTGTAAGCATTTGGAATATTAATGTCGATTACCGTGGATGTAGGCTTTTTAATTAAGCGCTCTGACCGTGCAACGTCGCTTTCATTAACATTGATCATATTCCCCTTTATTTTTTATTAAAATAAAATTCTTTTAAAATAAAACTTAATTAGCGAAACGCGAACCTTGATTGATCGTTATCGTTTGGGCGAAGGGCTTTGGTATACCTATTGGCCAATTTTGTGAGTTTTTGGTTCGTTCGGTTGTGGCTTGCGAAAGGAGTAGTTCATCTCGAATTAATGAGAACTTTTATTACGGCTACGGCGTACAACTTGCATCGCTCAGTCTCAACTCTCGGGCCAATGAGGCTTCTTCTGCTTTCTGAATTCCAAGTAATTGTGTTAAATATCAAAACGCTCTATAGTGACAAACATATAGTCGCCATTATATTTAGGGAATACGAATCCTTAAACGATGCCTAGCAAAATATCACATCATTTTGATCATTTGTCTACAAGTTAAAATGATTTTCGCGTTACGTTACGTTTCCTGTTTTCCAAGCAATGGGGAAAAAAATTTCATTTATTGATTGGAATAAATACCTCCGGATTCTGGCATAGGCTCGGAAAGTTTGATTTCACCATTGCTCTATTGGAAAAAACAATTTTTTGATGGTTTAATTGAGTTTATAGGCGTACCGATGGATGGTGACGTGCAGTGGGCGCTCAAACGCAATGATTACACATGAAAATATTAAAACCATCTTGAAAATTATTCTTGATATTCGAAAAGTGAACGGGCAGGAATGCCAAAAGCTAGTGCATCTAAAATGAATTCATAAAGTTTATTAAAGATCTTATTATCACCATCCACCAATTTTTGTCATTAAATATTAAAAATTAGCCCTTGTTATCATAGAAGATGGGGCCAAACAAATCGACTTATGTGGTCCATATTTTGTACAGTTAATATTTATGTCAGGACCAATTTCCTTTATAAAACATTAAATATTCGATCTTTCTGCCATAGATAGACATTTTGTGGGATTTTGGAAATTGGAACTTTTTTTCACCTGACAACGTTTTCAAAGTAAGTCGTTACGTGAAGAGTGGTCCTAAAAATGACTCGATCCAAACATTTCCTTGCACCAAAATACGTCAATATATCGGAAAAATTGGGATCGGTCAGACATTAGACAGACGAAAGCCAGACGGGTAGATAGGGACAAATCTGTTCAGAAAATGATTCCGAACCGAACGATATAATAAAAGATGGGTCTGTCATAAACTCTCTTACGCGTTACGTACATCTGAACGGACTTAATCTATTCTTACATATGCATACGACAAGTGTTGTAGAAAATAAAAGGTCATCAAAGAGTTCCATTGGTCGTATGATTCCGAAGGGAAACTATGCTGGTGAATAACATTGAATATTTTGGGAAAAAGAAATTTTTTTTCTTAGTTCATCTGCGGAATGATTGTACAGATGTTTGAGCGCAAATATGATTGAAAAGAGAAAATCAGTTTATCGACAGCACGTATTCTGCCATTTATGCATGCTCTCACTCTACTGGAAAGTAAATATTAGAATGTGTTCACATCATACGAACAAGCCTTCCCTAATCAGGAGATATATATTTGTAAAACAGAGTGAACGGGGGAACTATTGCCATCGTAAATATAGACTACGACCTTATATTATGAAAAAAAGGCAAATATGGCCCTTGGTCCGTTAAAATGTAAGTCCCGAGAACATTTGCAATTTAATCTATTTCTCTTAAGAAGATACTCAGTTTTTGCCAAGAGAATCTAGAGGAAGAAAAGCGCACCTGAATACGGCTCTCACTCAGCGGAAGAATGTTTTATCGGACTAAATATGATTTTACATACGTGTGAGAAAGAAAGAGTGAGGAGAACTTACAAGTTTTGGTCCCTTGAGACCTAAGTAAGTTTTTATAACAACTTTTGTAATTTCGAGCATGCCTATATCGGGTGGACAAGCAATTAGAAGATTGGAACAAGTTGTCTTGATCTTAAATATTTTTATATCCATCACCGAATGATGAGTGGTACGTTCAATTTGTTAAAACGTTTGCAACGCCCAGAAGGAAGCATCAGAGACACACAACTTAAATTATATAT